TGGATTTGGTGGGAAGGACTATGTATCTCTTCTCGGCAGTGTCTTCTCTGGGTGTGTTGAAGATGTTTAGTGCTCGCCGTCTGCAGTCTCTGATGAAGTGACGAGGATAGTGGAGTTTGGAAAATACCTGTTCAATTATAGTGCATTCTTCCTCAAGGAACTCGTTGCTGCAGATTCTGAGTGCACGCAGGAAGAAGCCTATAATTACACCACGTTTGGTTTTGGTGTCGTGGTGAGAGTAGAAGTGGAGAAGATCGTTTTGGTTGGTGGGTTTTCGATAGACTTTAAAACGAAGTTCGTGGTCAGCTTTGCAGAGTAGAACATCAAGGAAAGGAAGAGTGTTGTCGACCTCTTCAATCCAGTTCACACTTGAAGAAGAGGTCGACAACACTCTTCCTTTCCTTGATGTTCTACTCTGCAAAGCTGACCACGAACTTCGTTTTTAAAGTCTATCAAAAACCACCAACCAAAAACGATCTTCTCCACTTCTACTCTCACCACGACACCAAAACCAAACGTGGTTGTAATTATAGGCTTCTTCCTGCGTGCACTCAGAATCTGCAGCAACGAGTCCTTGAGGAAGAATGCACTATAATTGAACAGGTATTTTCCAAACTCCACTATCCTCGTCACTTCATCAGAGACTGCAGACGGCGAGCACTAAACATCTTCAACACACCCAGAGAAGACACTGCCGAGAAGAGATACATAGTCCTTCCCACCAACTCCATTGCCAAACATGTTTCCAACATCTTTGCCAAAACATCATTCCAAGTATCTACCTCCACAAACACGACCCTCAAGGACATCACCAGTAGTAGGCAGGACAAGCCTCCATCCTCTGCAGGGGTATACATAATCCCTTGTAATGACTGCAACAAATTATACGTGGGCGAAACATCAAGGGACCTCCAAACACGTATTTCAGAACACCAATACGCAAGCAGGTCTGACGACACAAGGAATGCCTGCGTACAAAAACCGTAATTCACACAACCACTTGATAAACTACAGAAACTCAAGACTTATCGCCACAGAAGACAACACCCAATACCGAAGAATCCTGGAATCATCACTTATTTCTATATCCGACAACTTCAACCAGAATAGTGGCTTCTATAACATAGCTGAACCACTTGCCAAGAAACTTCTTCATCGCTATCCCACATAAGAACACTGTAGAGGGTCTGCTCACAAACTTGTCCAGTCTCCTTTCCAAGCTACCCAAGTTTTTAGACTCTACAACCCAACTCGGTACATCATCAGATGCAGCATTCTTCACCTGACCTCAGCCGGACTATAAATACTCGCGTTCCTTCCACCCAGGTAGTTCTGTTTGTGACTTGAAAAAGCCCACTGTGTGGGCGAAACGTAGTCAATAAAGGATCACATTATACTGCATTTGTGTTTATATTGCCAAACCTCCCTTGGCCTGACGTACATTACACATGTTCTTTATGAATCATGGGTAAGAAGATTTAAGATTTAAGCTGGCATTCCTTAAAACATTTTCCATATTTGTTTTTTTATACTATTTAATTTATAAAATTTGACACTGAGGTCCGGGGGGTCGATCCCCGGTACGGGGGAAACATTAAGATGTTTTTTCCTTAATACACCTGCTGTCCAGTTCACTAGCAGTATTATTATAATAAAAAGAAGCGCAAAGCCACAGGGGTTACAGTCACCCCAGCAGTAAATGGTACCCGGGGGTTAGTATTTTAAATCAAGGGGAAGCGCTAAAAAACCCGGGGGTTATCGGCCTGGGGGGGGGATGGGAAGACATTTAGGGTTAAATTTGGGGCTGGAGCAAGACTAATTTCCCCAAATCAAGCCCCTCACCAACATCAAGGAACCTTCTTGGGGGGGGGGTGTTTGTGAGGTGTGGGTCGCATCCGGGACAAAAATGCCCAATTTGCCCCAAATGCTCTGCTAACAGGATCTTTTTATAATGTATGTCATTATTTAATCTGGGGGGCGCTAAACCCCTAGGATTATACGTACAGTGGGGGGATTAAAGTTTCAGGCTCGATTCGGCCCCCCGAGCCAGCTCCAATTCCCCGGATCAAGGCCTCTCACAGGGCAAAGAAATTCCCTTTGGGGGGGGTATGTCACCGATGTCAGCTAGATCTAAATTTTCCTTTTACATGTGCTTGTAGCCTTTTTCACTTCTCATTAACTTCCCCTCAGTCACAGTGACCGGATTAATATTCCATGAAAGTCATTTATTTGGAAAATCAGTGGCCCGTCCTAGTTTTAAGGAAAAAATGTTAGTAACATCAGTGATTCAGTCACTAGTGTTCGAGGGACTACAATCGCTAGTATTAATATAATTGTGGGGAACGCTAAACACAATTGCTAGTAACATCAGTGTTTCAGTCACTAATCCTTAAAAATTATTCCATTCATGGGGAGCACTACACCCATAGGGGTCATATAGTGTTGGAGACATTCAGGTTCGATCCAAGGAAGGTCAGCACAGGACCTATTCCTTAGATCAAGAGCCCCTCACCAGCATCAAGAAACCTCACTAGAGGACCTACACTCATTACCTGTGCTCACTCTCAAACCTCTTTTCTTGCCATCATCCTCTGCCTTATATACAACAAGAATATATCCACTTTATTTTAATGGAGATGTGCTAAATTTGTAGGGTTATAATGCCTTTGGAATGGGAGGTACTGGTCACCAGGTTTGATCTAAAGTTCTATCTTGACACCTGTTGGAGCCCTCCAACAGGTGTCGATATAGCACTTTGGCAAATGGGAGGCAATCAGGTTTGATCAAAGAAAGGGGACGTCAAGTCAAATTCCTTGGGTTAAGAGCCCCTTATAAGCATCAAGGAACCCCAGTACATAATTCAAATAGCACAAAAGAGCAGAGGTGGCAATAAGAGTAGTGGGGAGTGACACAAAAGTCAGAAGGCATTGGTGGCAGCAGCAACAACAGTAGTAGTACAGTGGACCCCTGCATAACGATCACCTCCGAATGCGACCAATTATGTAAGTGTATTTATGTAAGTGCGTTTGTACGTGTATGTTTGGGGGTCTGAAATGGACTAATCTACTTCACAATATTCCTTATGGGAACAAATTCGGTCAGTACTGGCACCTGAACATACTTCTGGAGTGAAAAAATATCGTTAACCGGGGGTCCACTGTATAGCAGTAGTAGTAGTAGTCATATAGCAGTAATAGTAAGCCATACAGCAGTAATAGTAGTAGTCATATAGCAGTAATAGTAGTAGTAATCATATAGCAGTAATAGTAGTAGTAATCATATAGCAGTAATAGTAGTAGTAATCATATAGCAGTAATAGGAGTAGTAGTCATATAGCAGTAATAGGAGTAGTAGTCATATAGCAGTAATAGTAGTAGTTGTAATAGTAGTGGAGGTAGTTGAAGAATAAAAAAAGGAGCACTGCAGGAGAGCTAATGGCCCACAAGGGTAGGACAAAAACCCAGAGAAAAAACTCATAGGACAGAACCCACCTCAGCAGAAGAAAGAAAAGGCAAATAAAATATAAGAAAGAAGAAATGAGAGGAGATAAAGATCAGGTCAAGTCACAAGTGTTCTGAAGCTTGGAGCATTTGACAATGTAATGAGAAAGGAAGGCATCTACAGAGACAAAGCCAGGACTAAAATTCATATTAGGAAACTTGTGTATAAGGAATACTTCAACAAAATTATATTTATGAAGGTTACAAGGGTAGACAGTTTTGACATTAGAATGTGATCACTAACTTGACAGAAAAGAGCATTATTAGTGCGACAAGTCTAACACTTCTTTTTGTGCTATTTAAGTCTGTCAGAAAGAGCAGCCACTTTCTCCAAAGTATTGGAGAGGAAAAGAGGAGCAGGAGATGGAGTAGACTCTGGAAGCATCAGTATCAGGAGAGGGACAAACTTGATTACTACGAAGGGTATTACTCTGGTGAAAGGTTACTTTGACATCTGAGGAACGGAGGGAGTCATTAAGATTTAGAAGATTGGAAATATAGGGAAGAAACAGAGCAGAAGACAAGACAAATTATAGCTACATTCATAAACTGTATGACCCCTGAGGACTGTAATAATTACATTCATGAGGAAGTGCCAAACACATATCATACAAAACCTGGCAAATGGGAGATAATCAGGTTCAATTCAAGAGGAGAGTAGCTCACATTTGTGGATTAAGAGACCAAGGCATCAAGGCATATTCCATTTAAAGGGACAGCTACAAGGTAAAGCTATACAAAACTCAAGATGAACAAATTACAATGTCACATTTTCAGGCAGTTTTGTGACTTGTACTGGTAATACAATCCACTCTGCTATGCAGTTGGCAATCAGTCAGGTATGCTTGTTCTTAGTGATCCAGTCTCTCAGTGGTTATGGTACTTCCTTTACTTGTCTACAGTAGGTATAGTCTTACTGGATCATTTATAAAATTTCTGTTTAAATCATTCAAAAATACAATTTGATGTACTTCTGTGCATCATTCAATAATACAATTCCTATAATAATCAGGTAGAAATATTAAATCTTTAGGGGTAATACAGCCTCTTGCAAACAGAAGGCAATCAGCTTCAACCCCAAAGAAAGGATAGGTCCATTCCTCGAGTCAAGACCCCCTCACTGGCATAAAACCCCCTCCTGAGGGGTATGTCATAAAATGCTCAATATTCTGTGCTCTCCTCAGCAGATTCACTTTGTCATTAGCTGCTGTATCATTCAAAAATACTGAACACCTTCATTAAGGCTTCCAAATCCATTACCAAAAAAATATTTCCCGATGATCACTCAAAAACCCATCTGATCCACTTTATAATGACAATCTGTAGAACACTCACCATACTTTTCACAGTTTATATACACTTATAGTTATTATCTAGGAAGGAAGAAAAATAAACAATATATGATTTGTTTTATGTAATCAATAAACTAAATGACACATAACCCAAAACATGTCCCTCCACTGAATTAGAAAATATTGTTCACATATAATGGGAGGGAAAAAAATCTTCATTTCACCAGGATGTGTTGAGGAGACTAATCAGACTTCCAAGGGTTGTCTTTCACGGTATGGATCAGTCGAACAGCTTGGTCATATGATTGCATATTAAAATGGAAGGTCAGTCATATATTCAACCCCGTTGTTTTTGCAATGATAACGCAAATTTTGACAAACAGAGCACAAAAAAAAAAATGCTCCCTTTTTGGGTCTATGAGTTATTTGTTTTAAAAAATGTTACTAATAATCAAAATTATCTTTAGGTCATTGGGTCACAGAGGCGGTGATTTCTTTCCACCTTTTGACATTTCAGTGGAACAAAATAGAAAAAAAAAATCAAACTTTAAACAAAAAAAAATACGAGAGAAGAAGAAAAATGTAGCTCAAATACAAAAAAAAACTTGCATAATTTACGGGCGATTTACTACAGTAATCATACAAAATTTACTCCCCATGTGATAATGTAGGAGAGTAAGGAGTTTGTTTTATTTTGAACATGTCTTATATTATTATTATAATAAAAAAGAAGCGCAAACCCACAAGGGCTATCAGCGCGCAGGGTAGGGAAGGAAGTGGGGGTTTATTGGAGGCAAAGGGAGGGGGGTGATCAGCAGGTTACGGAAAACACGGGGCGGGGGATATAGGGGGGGGAAGAGGGTAGCAAGAGATTGAAGTAGAAAGGGCAAAAGGTTCGAATTTGGAAGAAAGTCGTTGTTGTCAAAAAGTCAATGAGTCAGATAAAAGGGGGGTCCATCACGAGAAGGGAAGAAAAGAGAGAGCGCGGAGCAAAGACGACGACAGGGGTAAATTCTGCGTGCTCGTTGAAAAAGTGGGCAGTCCAACAGAATGGGGCTGACGATAATAGAGCTTGGGAATTTCACAGGAGGGCAAGACGCCCCTCCATGAGATATCCATGAGTAAAACGAGTTGGCCAAGCGAAGAGGGGGAAGTAGTCTCCCAACCCCGACCTGGTGATAAGAATTCGGCCAGAACCTATACTGGGTTTAAAAAGATGAAGTTTGTTGCCCAGAAGTAGACCAAAGTTGTTGCCAAGGGTGTTAAGGTGGGTAGATATTGCACAAAAAAAGTCCGAAATGGAAAACCTCTTTTAAAGGGAAAAGGTAGGTATGTAGCTGACCCGTGCAGCAGGTTGCCTGTTCATTGCCCCTTTTGCAACATGACCAGGGACCCCCAAAAAAAAAAACCCCCTATTTTATGTTTTAAGATGCGGCGTGCCAAAATTTGGTACGGAGGGCTAAGGGGGAGGTGTACAAAATTTTTTTATGCTTTTTAACCTAAGGGAGTCTGAGACAACACAAATGATGACCAAAGGGAGGAGCAAATTTTCGGATAATGCTGTAAGCATGGATATAAAACAGCAGTAAAAATACTAGCCGAAGATGTAATCCCTTGTACGACGCTGTCCGGAAACACTGTGCGAATCCTACGCCTCAGAAAAACTTAGCCATCTTGTACCCAAAGGCATGAGAAAGAGAGTGAAAGTGGTCAAGAAAAAAAGAGCGGGAACGGGCCCTGACAGTTGGGCTTTGAGCAAGGGAGGAAAAAAGAACAGACTCGAACAGCTGGAACTTCCCAGGGGGGGAGGGAAAAATGAGTGCTAATGTACATAGAAAGGTGGTAGTTGAAGAGAAACAAGAGCGAAGAAGGCGAAAAGAGAAGGGACGGGTAAACAGGGGGGTGAACAAAAAAAGAAAGTTACTAATTCATGACCATTTTAAAAAGGAAGGATTGCGGAGATCATGAGAGCGTAAAAGTAGCGCAAGCAAAAGGGGTCACGGCGATTGGTAAGGAGGAAAGTTCGCTTTGCATAGAGGCTCTGAAGGGGAAGAGCGAAAAGCACCAAAGGGATAAAAAATAATCCTTTGGTGATGAAAAGGGGTTTAAAGGGTAGAGGAGTAGCAGGAGATGCCGCTGAATAGATCTGGTCACCATAACCCAAGTTTCGATAAAAAAAGGGGTGGAATGTAGGCGAAGGAGGGATTCCGTTTATTTCCCCTTTGAAAGATGAGAAAAGGGTTTTAAAAAGGGTTCACCCGGGCTTTTGACAAGTTGCCTTAAAGAGAGGAAAGTGAGGTTTCCAGGTAAACCTACGTCAAAGAGGAGGCCCAAAAAACTTGCTGTATCACGTTCGGGTTACGGGAGCCATAGAGGTACAAAGGATGATCGGAATGACAGGGGCGTCTAGTGAAAGAAATTTGGGGTGGGTTTTATTTGCAAAAAATTTTTTAAACCCCACGTGTGGGGGCCCCCAAATTGGAAACCGGCCCGATGCATTGTTGGAGAAAAACTGTAATGAGGGCAGTCAGCGCCTGCCCCGGCAATAGCAAAGGGCTTTCAACTAAAGTGAGGGAAAAAATTTATTTGATGGAAGACTAGGGGGAAAAATCATTAATAGAAAGGGAAAGGAAAAATTGTTTTGTCAAAACAACCCCTGGGGGACCCTTCAGCTTGGAAAAAAGCCCGGGGAGAGCAAAAATTATTAACCCGAACAGGAAATCCCCTTTTCAGTTAAAAATTTTAAAGGGAAGGAGGGTTGGGATTGCCTGAAGGCCTAAGGGTGGGTTTTGGGCTAAAATATTATACCCCAAATTTTGTGCAAATGCCTTCTAAAAAGGTAAAAAAAATATGGCATAACTGAGTTGGGTTTTATTCGAAAAAAGGCATTAGAACATACGTACCCAAACTTTTAGAAAGGGGTCAAAGGTGGGAAACGTCCATTACAAAAGGGCCATTTTTAAACGAGTGGGGGGACTTTTTGTTTTTCCCCTTAAAACCACAAAAACCGTCTATTTTACTAGGCTTTCCCATTACTTTGAAAAATGCACTGGTAAGAGCAAGGGAAAAGATAGGGGGGAGGTTAAATGTCCCGAAGTGCCTGGCTTGGGAAAGGGAGAACAATGGGGGTTTTCCCACAGCTGTGGAAGAAACTCCTTGTGCCCAAAATAAGTTTTGTAAAGGCGAAATTTGGGACGGGCAAGGGGCGGACTATGAAAATTTTTGTAGCTTTGAAAAATAAATTTTTCGTGGCCCCCCTGCCGATGATCGACAAGCTAGAGTTTGCCCCCCGTTTTTGAATTTTAAAAGGCACATTAAAACTGTTTTTTCTCTGAGAGAAGAAAAGCCAAGGGTGAAAAACTCTCTGGCGGACTTTAAAGGAAAGAAATGAGGGGCATAGAGGGAAAGTCCCTGAGAAATAGGGCCCAGATGTTTCCCCAAATTTAAATTGGAAAACATCTAGGGGGTTTTTTGCTATATCAAACCTGGAAACCCCGCAGAACAGGAGCCAGGTTGGGGAGAAAAATTTCCCACCAGTTTTCGTACTTTTTTCCAGACTGCACCCCTGAGGAAGCAGGGTGATGGGGGGGAGACCCAATTTTCGCCAGCAAGTGCGTTTAGGGCCGGAAAAAAAACGGCGAGCGATCGGTGTTCTGTTTAAAATCAAGGAGTCTCTCTGTGGTTTAAATTTTACCCCGGGACCTGCCCCCGCAGGCGTTTTTAAAAAGTACTGCAAAAGAGAAAAAGCAAAGGGGACCAAACCAAAAGGCACGCATTTCTGAGAATGCCCGCCCGAAGTTTTTGGGGTTTTTAGAATAGAAGGCCCGCAGTGAAAAAGGGGGAACGAGAAGAGGTGTAAAAGCTCATCGATTTGGGGGACGAAAAAAGGAACCTCTTTTTTAAAAAAGTTTGGGTGTAGTAAAAGTTCCAAAAATTTTTCCCCATCAAATTTGCCAGCGGGGGTGTGAAGAGGGGGGGCGAAAAATGAAGGGGAAGTAAAAATGATTGGGAAAAAGTCACTGTCTTTTAAAATCCGGGAGAACAGACCAAGGGGAAGTCTAATGCGGGGAGGAAGGGGGCAGATGAGAGATCGATGCATGAGAGAAATATGAGTCCGAATCAAAATGGGGGGGTGAGTAAACCCGTATTTTTTTTAAAAAAAATGGGGGGGTGGGTTTGGGAAAAAAGCCTCTAACTGAATTTCCAAAGGGAATCACAGTGAGACCCCCCCCCGAGGAAATGGGGGGTTTTTTAAAAACCCAAAAATAACAGAAACAGGGGGCGGTTAAAAGACGAAACAAAAAAAAAGGGAAAATCCGGAATAGTAATGCCCGAGAAAAAGGGAAAAGTATAAAGAAAAAGAGGTATACCAACCCCAGGTAAGTGGATACGGGCTGCTGTGAAAGCAGCGAAGTATGAACAAATAAAACTGTTTGGGACGGAATATCAGTGGTAGAAGAAGGGCACTTTTATTAAAGGTCCCCTTAGGAAAAGGAAACTGGGGGGGGGGGGGGGGAATACAATAAATTATAGCCTGAGATGGGAGAAATAACAGCAGAGTGTAATTTTGGTTCCTGTAAGCAAACACCAACAGGGGCAAACTGGGAGAGTAACATCTGAAGCTCACCCCGATTACCCCTGAGGCCGCGTATATTCCACTGTAAATAGGCCATGATTGGCAATGATAAAGATACTTGAAATCCGCAGGTAAGGGTTCCTATGGACTAGAGGGGTTAGAAAAGTCCACATGCGGAGGCAGTAGAAAACGTTCAAGCAGCGAAGGAATGGTGCGCTGTGAAGCAAGGAGTTGCGCAGATGGAGCAGAGGAGAGAGAAAGAGCGGAAGGTGGATCAGTGTCCATTGATGGTTTGGTCTCTGCAATATATTCAGAGATTGCTTCAAGTGTTTCGGAATTCAGAGACGTCGTATGGGAGACAATATTGGAAATGGTAGGGGGAGGATGAGTAAAGATTGGAACTGTATTGGACTGTACCAAGGTAGGGGGGGACGGAAGGGTGGAGGGAACTGGAGAAGCGTGGCAGGGGACAGAAGAGGCAGGAACCTGGGAGGTGGCAGAAGAGGAAGAAACTTGGGAGGGAACAGGGGAGGAAGGTACAGTACGAGGAGGAGGGTGAACCTCTACGCTTGTAACAGAGCCAGTGAGAGGGAGAGAACCAGGGACAGAGACAGGGAGGGTAAAATGAGGAGGTGGAAGATGGGTAGGAGGTGTTAACGGACCTTTTTTTTGACTTTTGAGAAGTAGAGGGACGATTGGGAGGAGGTGTCATACGAGGTCTCGTTGATACTGAGGCT